GACAATCATGAATGCCGACGGACGCTGCGTCAGGTCAAACGAGAGACAGGCGTCGGCGAGGTCTCGCAGCCAAGGCGGACAAGTTGCGCTTACTGACGGACGGAGGTTGCCGAGACGCACGCCGTCGATGATCCCCCAGTACCCGAGGCCCTTGGCGTCGTGATATGGAAGTTGGAGCGTGTCCAGCTCGGTCAAAATGACGCCAAACGAGTAGATATCAGCAGCAAAGCTGTAGTTGCTCGTCGACGCAAGCACCTCTGGCGCTGTCCAGTACGGTGTGCTCTTGCCCGTCGTTGCGTCCGACTCGAGGTCAATGCCGAGGTTTGCGACTTTAATGTAGTTGGTCGAGGAGAGAAGGACGTTGTAGCTCTCGAGGTCGTGGTGGAAGACGCCGTTGTGGTGCAGATCGGCGAGCGCATTCGCAAGCACCCACGCGACTTGCAGCGATGAGACGTCAATTTTGGTGGGCTCACCGAGTCGCTTGGCGTCGACGTAGCTGCGCAAATCACCACCGTCCATGTACTCGAGCACAAGCTTGGGACTGGTCGAGTCGACATCTGAGACGGCGAGCAGTTGCTGCAGATACGGCGAGTTGCACCTACAATGATCGACATTTAGATCATTCCACAAGATCAAAGAGATCTACTGCTGGATGGTCTCCATTTCGTGGAGGATTGCTTGGACGGAGGACTCGTCGACAGGCGTCTTGATGGCGACGACGCGACCATGGTACGTGCCCTTGTACACGGTACCATAGATTGGACTAGATACGTCCATCTCAATATCCGTAGCCGGCACCTAGAGCCGCCCATGTTAGAGAAAGATCGTTACTGGGAAAATGGTGTGTACGCTGGGGATAACACGGTGCGCGGCTGTCTGCAGCATCGTTGCCAGGCGTCGGTGGCCCATTTGGATGGCCAGAGCCATCGGTGTCACGCCCGCCTAAACAGCGACAATATTGTCATTGTCATCCGTGCCATCGACTCTATATACCTGATTGTGAGCGTCGATGTTGATGCCGGGCGTTCGCAAAAGCGTCGCCAAAGTCTTCTGGTCGTTGGTTTGTACAGCGAGATGCAGAGGTGTATCGCCCGACTACACCGATTCAGCGTCGCATCGGTGCTCAGAGTCAAGTCAAAGCATTTACCTCGTTCGCAGCATTGGAATGACTATCGTCGGCCAGCCGTTCTTCACTGGCGTCGTTGACGTAGACAGCTTGGACCCGCTCCTACACCATTCATATGAATAGACATGTATGGTCCAAATTAAGTTGTACGTTGGCGCCTCGTGCGTCCACGGGTCGATGCACCGAGCTCTACATCGTAGGTCGTGGATAATGACGTGTGGCATGCAGCAGTCGTACCCCCAAAGCTTCCTGACAGTTGGTACCGATGTCGAGTCGGTTGCCAAGCCGCTGGACGAGCTTACTTAGCATGGCCTCCGAGTTGCAGACACGCTGGGCTATGATGCTCAGCATATTCTCCGAGTCGCAGATGCGCGACACAATGTGGTCTAGCATGGCCTCCGAGAGCTGCGGGACCTACGAAAGCTTGCACAAGAGTACTGCGGTGGACTCTACCGAGTACCTTTTGCTTGGTCAATTTTTCTGCTTGCAGCAGCGTGTTGATGACGAGTGGGTGCATCGCCAGCATCAACGGCGTCTTGCCCGTCTAGAGATACCGTCCGTCATTGCATAGGATGATGGTTGGAGTGCGATACCTTGTCCTTGGCAAAGACGTTGGCCTCGACATCCAGAAGGTACTTGATCACGCATTCGTGGGCCTTCTCAGCTGCAATATGGAGCGGTGTCTGGCCCATCTAGTTCAAACGAGATACGATTTGACAGGATCTAATCACAAACAATGTTATCTACCGCGTCGCACGCCTCGAGCTTGACGCCACACTGGACAATTTGGTGAACCACGATCATGTTTCCGCCAATCACGGCCGCATGCAGTGGCGTCGATCCATCCTAACATCGTCATGAGACATGTTGAATATGAAGGGTTCAATACAGTACTTTGGAAACGAGTTGGGGGTTGGCGTTGGCGCGAAGGAGACATTTGACAACGTCGGCGTGGCCACCGATCGCAGCGGCAAAAAGGGGTGATT